TTCAACGACTAATGTATTTGTGGCGAATACTTTCATTATGTAAACTATTTCAAAATCTTTGTAGATATTAATCTAAGATTTCCAGAAATTATGACAAATTGTAAATATTTACTTTAAATCAGTTTAATTTTCGTTTCAAATAACGGATATTAAGTCTCTAACCTGCAAAATTCAAGAGATATTCGTTAGAATAACAGTTACAAAATAATAACAGACAAATTTATATATATATATATATATATATATATATATATATATATATATATATATGTGTAGTATATATATATATATATATATATATATATATATATATATATATATATATATATATATATATATATATACTATTTTCCTTACTGCTTGCTCTGGTTTACGATGTCCGAGTTCTTGAGGTTGTTTATATTAAGTCTCATCAGCCTACCTTATGTAAACAAAAAGGAACCTTTTATTGCTTACTTACGTTTGGTCGATGGATTATGAGTAACTTTTCCATTTTATACTCGCTTTGGAACTTCGTAGTTTGTTTTAGTCGTTATTTTTTTTATAATTAAAATCTATTTTAATCTTGTTTCAATTTTCTCTCCTCATTCGATATATATATATATATATGTGTGTGTGTGTGTGTGTGTGTGTGTGTGTGTGTGTGTGTGTGTGTGTGTGAAGAAATATACTCTTATGGTGTGCTATATTTATGGGATAAAGTGCTCAATATCAAACATAGAGAGTGTGTAAAGTCAACACTTAGAGGTGACAGGCTGTTTCATGCTAGACGTAATTTAGGTGGACTGACGATTGCGTCTACCATGAAACAGTCTGTCGCCTCTGAGTGTTGACTTCAATGTTCACTTTTATATTTATATATATGTATATAAATTAAGATATAGAAATCCCGGCAAAGTTTTTAAATTTGACAAATGGAAGCGTTTCATGAAACTAGATTTGATAACGCATTTCGACATACAAGAATTCCTTTGATGCAAAAACGAAAAACTGTAATGTGTATGTGTATGTGTATTTGTGCGCATTCTTAAATAATCAATCTTAGTACTTTTCTCTCGGCTGGCGTTTCTCGTGATTAAAGAAAAAAAAAGAGTGACTTTTAAAAAAAGCCGTTAATATTGATTCTGTTCTTTTTCTTTATAATTCTTAGTTTATGTCGAAAGTTGGTAATATATTTTCCAGTTTTTTTTTTGGTTTTTTTTTTTTTTGTATCGGATTAAAGTTAAATTTTCATCTCATTTTCAAAATGGCACGAAAGCAAGACATTCATTTAGCCTTTTCTTAAATCAATCCAAAGCAAAGCCTCATAAAATTCGTCAGAATGGGTTGCAAGTTAAAGATTTGTTTTTTGGCCTATCCATGTCGACTATATATATATATACAATATATGTTTTGAAATTATGATATAGAAATCCCAATGAATTTAACAAATGGAAACATTTCATGAAATAGATTTTTTTTTTAATCATTTCACCCCAAGCAAGGCGGGAAGCCACTAGGACGCAAGGAATTACAGAAAATTTAGAGCAAGATCAGATAGGAGTGATAGAAGAAAGGATGAGGAGAAGAGTAGTGGATAGATCAAGGCAACTGGAGATGTCGATTGACATTACACTTGAAACAGGAATTTGATTGAAAATAGATTTGATAATGCATTTCGTCATTCAAGGCTTCATTAGATACGAAAAGGGGAAGACGAAATGTGCATATGTGTATTTGTGTATATGCTTAAAAAGTTTCGACTTGAACTAAGAATCATAAAGAAAAGATACAGAATAAATATTAACGACTTAAAAAAATTCTACAAACAAAAATTCGGTTTACCGATGAGGTTCCCAAGAAGCAGTGTTCTTGCTTGTCTTTTCGTAGAACTTTTAGAGTCTGGTCCATTTAAATACATCAAACTCCACCTTCCTCAGATACATAGATGCCGTCCTTTTAATATATTCTCACAATTAAAATGTACTAAACATCATAAAAAGACTTAATGACATAGAAACAACCATGGAATACACACATGAACATAAAATAAACAAATTTCTTTCTTCGACATCCTATTAATAAGAGATAAAAACAAATCAGATTTAACGTTTATCGCAAACCCACTAACAAAAAGGATTTAATCAACTTCTATTCCAACCACAACATAAAAATAAAATCAGTTTTTTTTTGTTTTTTGTTGTTTTTTTACCTCAGATCCTTTATAATATCCAGCTCAGAATACCTAGAGTACTGAAAAAAGTACGCGGGTGTAGGCTTTAAGAAAGCTTTATTCAACTGAGAATACAAGCTTCGCTTATAGTGTCCTTTTATAGTCCCGGTAAACAGAAATATCTCTAATATTGTTTTGTTATTCTCCTCTTTGCGAGAGAGAGAGAGAGAGAGAGAGAGAGAGAGAGAGAAAGAAAGAAAAAAAACAAGGGGAGACCACTCTTGATTATTTATAAAACTTAAACGAAGAGAAATACACTGAAAAAATGCATAAACTTCTTCACTATAC